TAATATTAAGGGTGTTCTGAATAACATATTTTTTATCATTCGACCAAATATTGAATATTAAATATTAAATACCCGGATATATTATAATATATCCAGGTATTGTGTAATTTAAATCCTAAGCCAGGTTGTGAATTTAAATCCTAAAATATATATTTTATAATGAAAAAATATTACTATGATAAACCATCAAAATGGTAAGTTTTGTTAGGAAACTTTTTTAAAAATAATGATAGCTGTGATTTCACATCAATATGCATTCCATGTGGAAAACAGAAAAAAAGGGCATGTAATAAATATATTATATCTCCTGCTTTTCACATATATTATTTTATATACCAGAAATATAAAAATATATATTTTTTTTATTTCCGGAATATAAAAATATATACTGGAAATATCCAGAATATATTTTTGTATACCGCAAATATCTGGTATATAAAAAAACAGATAAAATTATTCTCTGGCCAATTATGGGATACTTAACAATACGCCAATCCGGCCCGGATAGCTTATCTGGGACACCCCTATATAATATAAACAAAATATATATACACACACATACAGCAGCGACAAAAAAAATTTGTGGATAAGGTAAAAAAAATTTGTGGATACGATAAAAAAAAATTTAAACTTTACCAATATTTTAGCAAATACTCTACTTTAGCCAACATATTATATACCAATTAAAAGGATTTTATGTTTAATATTATGTTATAAACAAATATTGATAATTTCTTCAAAATATTTTGATTGATGGAAAAAATAGTGCTTTTTGATGAGCTCAAAAATTTTTGGACAAAGCATTTATATTTAAAAATGTAGGAATTTTTGAAGATATTTAATCAAACTTTTAAGAAATGCAAAATTACATAACTATTTTGTAAGACAATCAAGAACAGCTTTACATCTACGAGGCATAAAGTCAACTAAAATACTGCAAACATCAATTGCAATTAACTGCAATACTTCTTAGATTTTTCTGAATAAATTAGTAATATTTGTAAGCTTAATGTAATATTTGTCGGTTAACATGTTTCCGTAAATAATCAATGGCATCTAATCACAACTATACCAGTTGATTTGGATATCAACTTCAAAATACAAACTTTACTTTTTTTAAAGAATTCTTGATCTGATTTGCTTGTTTATTTGGGATCATTTTCCTGATATATTTTCCTGTGTATTCCCTCACCTTTAAATGCTGTGATGTTAATTCTTCTAAGACGTGTTAGTTTTTCAAGGAAACAAATAGTTTTTAGGGTTGACAACTTCCAAACACATTTGCACAACGCAAATTTTTTAATTGGATATATAAAATATGTTGGATTTAGTGAAGTAAGTATTGAAATATTAGTAAAATTTAATTTTACTAATATTTCATATTATCAAAATTGAATTTTACTAAAAAAATTTAAAAAAAAAGGAAATAAAATTTTACCTGCCCGCAAATATTTAAACACTACTGTACGTGTTTTATTTAATTACACCAATAAACATCTGCACTTTTCCCAGTAGAACGACACAAAAATAAAGAATCAAAAAGTTCAAAACATATCCTGGTTATACTTTACATAAAACATATCCTGCTCAGCGTAGTTAAGGAGAGATCCGAACGATTTGTATTTCTTAAAAATAAAACTTTACATTTTTGAACTTCAATTTTTGTGTTTTCCGCTTATTTTCAACTATTAATTTTATATATTTTAAAAAAGTAGAATTTAAGCTTTTCTCATATAACTTATTATTTTTTTATAAACCTTTTTTTAACCAAAACATCAAGCAAAACAAAACTACCACTAAAATCAATAAAACGCGATGGGGCAGTGTCATAAAAACAACTGAAACAAATGTGTTAAGTATTTATATTTCAAAAATGTCTCTTTTATTTGAAAGTAAAAACACTTTGTTTACAGCATTAAAATATTCAAATAAAACCTCATATTTTATCTTTTCGTAAACAGTAAAAATGTTAAAAATGAAGTTTTCACATTAGTTTTCATTCATAGCAATTTACTTCCATAATCTCTTTATAGTCATTTGAATAAATTACTAAACAAAAACGTTTCAGCTTTTATACAACTTCTGCCCCATAATATTAAGCTAAAACATCAAACTTATAGATAATAAAATCACTGAATATTTGTAAACAAAATAAAACAAGCTTCGTGATTTAAAAAAAAAAAAAACCAATCAAAACGCACACAAAATAAAACGGCATTTTTTGAAAATGAAAGGGTCTAAACGCTATATTTTTCTTTGGATCTCTCTTTAACTATGCTGAGTGGTTATATACATTAAATAAAATTTTAGGTTTCAATTTTTTAAAAAAAGGAGATTTTAATTTTAAATAATATAATAAAATCTGAAAATAAAAATATAAAATAATATAATATAACATAAAATATTAAATAATATAATAAAATCTGAAAATAAAAAAGTCATTTTGATTTCAAAACTTTTTAAGGAGTTATGTTATTCAAATTACTCTTTTATTCATTTGTTTACATAGTAACCACCACTGAGATTGCTGCTAGAAATTCTTAAACTAGACAAATATTTCTTTCAGAACAGTTATGTACAAGATATTTAAGACAAAATCTTTAAAAATTTTGAAGCTGAGTATCTTTTCCATCAGGAATCCTTACATATTGCATACTAAGATTATGAGAAAAAATACCAGCTTGATACACCAGCTGTTTTTTCCAACAAACTTATGCAAATGAGTGTTCTTGTCAATAATAATGGCATCATAGGTTTCTTTACATTAAAGTAAGATGCATCCTCTGGATAGGGATACTTCTTAAGTTCTTAAATCATTAAGAATTACTTTTTATTAGTTAAATCCTGATCTGTGAGTGACACAATAAATTTTCAAAGTCTTAAAAATTTCAAAATTTTTAAGACTTTTAATTTTCTTTCACTTTTGGCTACAGCTGAGATTATTAGACAGTGTCTGTGGTATGATGGATGACTTTAAAAACAAAGTAAAATATTGCTTCATAAGGTGCAATTTCGCTGATAAAAAAGTTTGGTACTTTATTATCCAGATAGAAAGAACTTAGTTTTCAATCTTACTTAGTTTGTTAAGACCTTGGGATAAGTATTCAGGGTAGTGGCATTTCCTAGGTATTCTTTAGCTTCTTGTGCAATTGAAAATTTTCAGACCAATATTTTTAAAATTTAAAACAGGTGTTTTTTTGATGCTTAAAATTTTTCTGTTAGTGTTTGCTCAAAATGATCAATTTGTCATTCATATATGTGTTGATAACAAAGTTACATAATGTAATTGCCAGTAATGTACTAATAAGTTGAATTTCTACATTATATGCAGCAGTGTTGGATGCAGTTGTGTCAGCAAAAATATGTACAAAATATTATCATTTTCAAATTCAGTATCTTTCAATATATTTTTATTTGTTTTGCCTGATCTTTGCTTTGTGATGAATTTGCTTGGAAGATTTTAAACATAACATCATTAATATTATCCTCAGGATCTGTCATGCTGAAAATCTCATTTAAAGTTTTTATAATTACTATTTTTTATTTATTTATTTAAATTTATTTATTTTTTACTTATTTAAATTTGTTCATTCCACGAAATTTGACTCTTACATTTTAATATCTTTTTGCTTCCTCCATTTTTTCAATCTTATCTCTGATGGTCCAACTTTGGCTCAAGAAGTTTTTTAAAAACCTGCACATACTACTTTCTTGGCAAGGTATTTTTTAATAACTTAAATTTGGTGCTGGGAAGTTAACTTAATTAGCAAAAATCCCCCTTTTTGTGTGGAGCAAATAAAATTCGATTTTGTTTACTTACACCTTAATTGCTTTGAGAATATGTATTATTTGATAATATGGAAATAACTTCTTAAAATATTTTTGTTTTAAAAAAAAGTCTGAATACTGTGTCTCTTGATGCCTCAATGTTGAGAAGAATTCTAGAACATTACAAATTTTAAAGTTGAGGGGAAAACTCCTTTTAAAAAACAAAAATATTTTTAGAAGTTATTGCCAATTAATAAAAAGTCATTTTTGTGGCAACTGAGATTTAAGAAGCTCTAAAACGGATTAGCTTAAAAAATACAGCGGTTTCTTGGGTTTTGCCACATTAATTTTTTTTAACCATTCAAGTTTCTTTTTTTTACAGTTTTCTCTTCTGCATTGTTTATTGTATACTTCCTTGTTGCTATTTATTTTATATCTAAAAAACAACTCTATTGTATTGTTTTTAACTTTTTTCAACTTTGGAAAATGCAAATAACCATTAAAAAAATACATAGCTTTTTTCGATTTTTACACCAAAAACTTTTAATATTCTTTTACCCCTTATTTTGGTAAAACTACTTCTTTTTACATATAAAACCAGGATAATTCTTAAAAGGTACTTTGGGAGACCTTATTCCACAGTCAAACCTGTATATAAAAACTAGGATAATTCTTAACTTAAGAGATACTTTGGGAGAACTTATTCCACAGTCAAACCTGTGTATAAAAACCAGGATAATTCTTAACTTAAGAGATACTTTGGGAGACCTTATTCCACAGTCAAACCTGTATATAAAAACCAGGGTAATTCTTAAATTAAGAGATACTTTGGGAGACCTTATTCCACAGTCAAACCTGTATATAAAAACCAGGATGATTCTTAAATTAAGAGATACTTTGGGAGGCCTTATTCCACAGTCAAACCTGTATATAAAAACCAGGATGATTCTTAAATTAAGAGATACTTGGGGAGGCCTTATTCCACAGTCAAACCTGTAAATAAAAACCAGGATGATTCTTAAATTAAGAGATACTTTGGGAGACCTTATCCCACAGACAAACCTGTATATAACAATATTAAATATCATTACTTAAAAAATATTTATTAAAAGTAATTTATTTGTTGGGGTAATAATAAAAAAGCTAACCAATATGACTAAAGAAAGTGAAATAATATACTGAACCAGTAGAAAAAAAATGTCAATATTTCTTTATTGTTTAAATCCACTTACGCTTATTTCTGGAGGATGGGTAGTAGGTTGATACAACTAAACAAAAGTATTTCTTATGTTATATAAGTTGTTATTTAACAAGTATATAAGTTATAAACTACTGAAAAATTTGAGAAAAATAACTTTAAACATAAAAATTGAATTAACAAAAAAAAATTTTTAAATATAAAAGAGATTTTTACTTTTTAATTTAATACTTTTTCTATATTAACACCCTATATAACCTTAAAGGAGACAAATATAACTATGAAAAAAAAATAAATAAAGAGACAAACTTAATTGAAACAAAGATAAACATAACTTAAACAAAAATTATTATACACTAAAAAAAGATATTACAACAACTAATATAGTAAACATTTAATTCAGAATTTATTTTTTTTCTCTCTCAATGATTGTGTAAGAGAAAACAAACTAAATAAAATTATATTAAAATGTGTCAGCAATTGATGTCATTACCCAGGAAATCTAAAAATTTCAAATATCTGGTTCAATCTTACTGAGCAAAAATTCAATTTTAAAATTTGCATGAGGCCACATTAAAAAAAGTATATATAAAGTATATATAAATTTAGTGTTAACATTTTTTGTTATCACTTTTTTTCAAAAATTAATAGAGTTTTAATTTTAAAGCTTTTGTATTTTTGGCATTAACAACATCAGTCATATTGCTCCAAATATTAACAACGTCAATCATATTGCTCCAAATATTAACAACATCAGTCAGCATATTGCTCTAAATATTGACAACCCTGATGGAGAAAGAATATTTATAGACATGGAGTTTAAATTTTACTTTGCGTAATTTGAATTTGTGAACTCAAGTGTAAATGTAGTTGTTTATTAAAGAAACTTTAAATATTTAGGCAAACTTAATTAGCACAAATTAATCAGCGTTACATTGTGAAAACAATTCTGCGCTAGAGATTTCATGTGCTTTTATTCCAACTTTTTAAATGGACCCGGTGCCAGGTACTCATATTCGGTATTTTCTTCTGGGTACCCAGAATCGGGGACTTGGCATAATCTGATTCTGGTACTTCTCTAACAGAAATATACTTCAGTGGCTTGCTCATTCAAGACCATGTTTCTGAATCTTTAGGAGAGATTGTAAAAGATGATTAACAACTTTAAACAACAGATCCATTGTTGGAAGCACATAAAGAATAAAGGATTCATCAGAGTTATTGATTATAGGTGCATGGGCTAAATTTCCAACTCCACTTGCCTTTTTAATGTTTGTACCAGCAAAAATTTGTTTTTAATTTATGTTGAGGTTATTAGAGATCCACACCTAGAAAGCTTTTGATGCAATGTCCCACCATGAGCATGGGAGTGTACTAGATTTTGCTTGTAGACCACAATAATTCCTAAGCTTACTTTTAGAAAATCACCACCAACAACAAATCCCAGTTTCACAAGGTAGTCATTTAAAAGGTTTTTTGTTTCAAGTACTTGTTGACATTGCAATTGTCTTTGCATTAAACAAGTTTTGCCACATGATTTTGTCAGTTGTAACTTTGATCCAAGTTTTTCTCAACAATCCAACTAGCAGCAACTTGATTAAGAGTTAATACCAGATTTTTTTATACCATAGTTGGAATGCTCTTTCGTTGCTCTGCACATGAACAAGATGAACATGCCAATTTGTGGTTCTTCAATGAAAAAACTTCAAGGTCTTGAAGATAAACTTCAAAAATAATTCAAGGAAATCGTGAATTTTATGCAGAACATTAACTTTAAATAATGAAATGAAAACTTCAAATAACAAATTAAAAAGCTTAATTATTTAGGCTTAATAAGACAATTGTACTGTAAGATTATCCTTCCTGGTTGGAAACAACTATTTCAGTTGCTATATACTCCTTTGCGATAACACTTGTTACATTTTTTCATAAAATAGAATTTGAGCAGTTGTATGGTAAACCTTTTTGAAAAGTACTAAGAACATTTTTATTTAACTATTTTTTTGACTTGCTTCAGATTTTTGGGTGAGTAAGACCAGATATAAAGAATTGTGCCTTGGGTAAACAGTTACAAAGTAAATCCTTTATATCAAGATGGACTTGGAAAAGTCAAAATGCTTTGGCTGAGTTTGAAACTTTTCCTCTTCAAGCCTCATAATGTTGGAATAACAAATTCTAGTTATGATTCTGAAATTATGACAGTTTATTCCTTGACTCTGAATTTGTTGAGCTTATTCTATCATAAAGCTAGTTAATAAATGTCTGCTCTTGTGGAGAAACAAAAAGCAAACACTTAACCTATTCTCTAATGTTTTTTTAATGAATTTTTTATATGAAATTTAAATCAGATTTTCTTTGAAAGATGGTGTAACCAGATTTTAGAATTTATCCCAGTGACTACTAATGATCATTCCCCAAAAAGATTTCTTAGAACCATGATATCAATTTTTTTAATAGAGAAAAATTAATTTAATTTCAGTAAAAATATTGGGGCATATATCAAGAGCTGACTGCAACAACTGTCCAAGTGCATATTGGCAAAAAATGAGTCATAACTTATCTTAAGGGGCTGTCCATTAATTACGTCAACAAATTTTTGAAATTTTCAAAAATTTGTTGACGTAATTAATGGACAGCCCCTTGTTAACAATTTGTCAAATTTCCAGAGACCCCCCTATAAAATTACGCCAACTTTTGATTACGGCCTCCTTCCCATGCAAAGAAACTACGCTACAAACTCAGCCTAATTTTCCGTTATTTAAGCAATGAAACTCAAAAAAAAAAAAAAAAAACCCTAAGGACATTATTTTTATATATAAATTGCCCTACTAAGCAAAAAAAAAAAAAAAAAAAATCTCCACATTTCAAAATCTTTGGATATTAAGTGTTTTACAAAAGCACACCTGCCTAAAAATTATTTTTTTCTTAACAGTTTTTAAAATGATAATCTACTATATACATATTTTGGCTTAAAAAATTGATCATTTAAATAAACAAAAAAATCAATGACATCATGTACTGAAACTCTTAGGAATAAAACACGCTTGAATAAGTTATGAAGTCTGTAGATTGCAGTGTATATTATGAAGACTATTTGGCCTTCTACAAAACAGAAAAAACAATCTTCAAATAAAGCAAAAAATTTTTTTGGTATGCATTTATTCTTTTGTTTTAATCAAAAAAATTTTTTGGCAAAACAAATTTTTTAACAATTCTCTTTAACATGAACACAGCATGTCTCAGCAGTTTGGGATCCCATTAATAATTCATTAAAATAAAAAGTTTTTACCGTGGGTTTACTAGTATCTTCTCGAAGCCGTATTGAACGCCTGCAAGACTTTAAATATGTGCGAATCCGCTTCCGTGCACGATCTTCAAATTCTGGAAATTGTCGTTGACAAGACATGATTATTGCATTTATTTTTTCTTTGGGTTGCTTAGAGATTGGTACAAGTCTATCAAGATTTTCATCAATAAACAAGCGCACAAACATCTAAATTAATATCAAAGATAAATAAATTTAAAATTAAAAATAGCTTTCATTTCATTAGTAACTGAAAAGAAATAATTTAAATATAAACAAAGATGTAATATCTAGAACTTATAATGGGGAAAACAAAAAGCATTAGACAGGCCATTGAGAATGAGAGACTATAAAATAATGATAAAATAATAATTACATTTTAATAATTATAATAATACTTTAATTTTATAATTTTCAAAAGAAAACAAATTACTTTGATTTTTACTGCTTGCAAAATACAAAATTGGTTCAAACAAAATAAAATTAAAAGAATTCTATAGAAACCAGAGTCAAAAGCTCACAATTAAACTTTTAATTTTTAATATTGATTGATAGTTTGTTTAACATATTTATGTACATTGTAATTAATTAGGGCAAAAAAAAACAGTGATGTACAAACTTTTTCTTTCATATCTATTCATTAAATCATCATACTAAATAAATGTTAAAATGATGTTGTAAGATTGTGCTGCTTGCTTCGCAAACAATATGAAATTATATAACAAGCCAGCAATATCCAGGTCAATATTTGACAATCCTAAAATAAAAAATGACCAAATATAGTTTGATTTTGAGGCTTTTTTTAGTTTAGCTTTGTCCTGAATCTCTAAAAGTGTCTGCATGCAAAAATTTATATAAAATATAGTTCAATGAGATTGATATATATTGGTGCTGCACCTCTTCATCATATATATTATAAACATGTTAATTCTTTATGGACTAACCTTGTTATAAATATTATTGATTTCTGAATAAACAAACAAATATTAGAGTTACAGACATATCATAGTTCAATCAGATTTTATAATTTAGATATTCTAATCATTAGTTATTTTAATTCAGAAAAAATTTGAATTTAAAAACAACATAGTAACACTTTCAAGCAAACGATTTTGACAAAATTAATTTAATTTGGTGTAAAACATGCAGCAGTATGCAGAGCTCCTAAAAATGTGTCACAATAAAAACAAAGGCTGAACAACATTAGCTACAGAAATGCTTGTAGGCAGAACATCAGTCAAAAAAAAAAGAATAACTTTTCAGACCATATTTTATGTTTTCATAAACAGGTGGCAAATGTCGTTAGGTTGAGCATAGTAAAAACTCCTAATACAATCAAATGTGATGAAGAAAGTGCTACTAATTCCTCCAACACTGGTAAACTATTTATCAATTTTTTGAAACAATACTCCATTAATAAAATCTTTGTTTACTGCTCATAAACTAATTTTGCATTTTTAAACCATGTTTTTCTATGATCAATCTAAAAAACTAACAAAAATGTAACCAATTTTGTTAAAAAACAACTCTGAAACTAAAAAAAATATAATTAATTCATAAATTTGCTATTTTTATAATGTTAAATTGCCTTAAGGCCTCACTTGATCTAAAAATCTGATTTTATAAGAAGTTATTAACCCTTGAGTAACAGTATAAAAAAATCTTCAATTTAAAACTATACATTAACAATTGCTAAACAATTTACTCAGTAATTGCTCAGCTTTACATGAATGAAAACTTAAGCAAAATTTTATATGCACTACATAAGATTCAAAATTTTAGACTCAATACTTTAAGAAATTTTCAACTAATGGTTCATTTTTTTTTTTGCTAAAAAGGTAAACATTCACAATTCACAATCTTCAAAATGAAGATATTAATTTTTTTTTCCTGGAGGCTAAAAGTGGTTACGACACCTCTGCAAGCAGGTTTAGCAATAGGGAACATTATAAAACAGTTTTCTGTGTTAAGAGCCACAAATTTCAACATAAAAAATCATTGAAAGAGCTGGATCATGTCAAAAGAGAGTTAAGATCTGAAAGAAAACCAACAACAACATCAAGTCTACAAAAAGAGGAACCCAATCAGTTTTTTTAGAAAAAAGGTTTGTAATGGGTGCAAAAATACTAAAGCTGGGTCTAAACTACCTTCCCAGACTTGTCAAACATTGTCTATGTTTAAGATGGAGCTCCGTGTCACACAGCAAATGCAGTGCAGGCAAAGGTTTGTAAATGCCAAAATAATGATATCCTGAAAGAATCTGTTGTCAAAGCATAGAATGAAAATTCAGACATGTTTTCACACACAATGTATATTTTAATATAAGCCTAAAATTTTAAATTTTGCACAGTATATTTGCAACAACAAATAAATACTCAAATTCTATAAACAAATAAACCTGCAGTTTAATTTTTATACATCATACTGCTTACAAATACACTTACATTGAATGCTTTAAGACGTTCAGCGCTAACAGGTTTCTGAGGTTCATTTTTCTTTGCTAAAGATTCAACCTCGTCATCATCATCTTCATCATTATCATCTAGATGATCCTCAGACGATTTATAGTTGGTTTCTGTAGAAGGGTATTGGTTCTAAAAGAGTCGTGAAAAAGAATTTAAATAAATTTTTAAAAATCATTTTAAAAACTTATTAGTATACACAAATACTTTAAAACTGTAAAAACACCATTTTAAGATATATTTAAGATGAAATTGGAGCCAAACCAATACATAACATTTAAAATAAACTAATATTCCAATACACATGAAAAATTAACTCACTACTTGTGAGCCAATTTTTTAATTTGAATAATTTCTAGCTGTAAGTTAAATTTTAAATTAAATTAATTGTGCAATTTAATTGAAAATGCAATTACTTCTAACACAACCATTGCATTTGATAATTAACACATTTTATATTTCTTTAAAAATCAAATTTAATATTGCACTAAGTTTTATAGTAACCAATAATAAACAGTAAAAATCAATAACAAAATTAAACAAAACTATAGTTAAATTTTTTAAAAATTCAAATGTGATATTATGAAATTAAATATATTTTACATTCTATGTAAATATCATGAAATTAAATAATGAAATTAAATATATTTACCATTCAATGTAAATATCATGAAATTAAATATATTTTACATATAAATAGCATTAAAAAAGTAATCTAACAAATAAAATCAAATTTATACTGACTTTTTGTACATCATTTATAGAGTTTTTTTATCTTTTTTTTTTTTTTTTTTATCTACTTTCTTTTTTAATTTAATTATAAAAGCACACTTTTGTCATTAAATTCAAAAAAATTTATCCAATTAATAGTTTTGTATTAATAACCATTGAACTATGATTAATCAACTTGATACTTTATATTTTAGTCATAAAAAGAAACATGTCAGAAACAAAATATCAAAATATTGAAGTTGTCCAAATTTATATCTCAGTTCTCTTGCCATTACTTATTAGTTGCTGTAATTTTCTTCAGTAAGTACTGTTTTTCAGTTTACCCTCTTTTTCTCTGCACTTGACAGAACTGTTGACTTTATTTCAATCAGTGATTTTGGCTTAAAATAAAAACTTACCTGCATCAAATAAGTTTGGAGTTATTAGCATTTAAGCCTGACATGTCCTACCAGCTTAGTTATACCAATTGAAATGATTTTAGATTTTCAGTGCACAACTCTCAGTGCAACAAGTACATCAGTTAACAAACTCTTATACAAAAGTTGGATGTTTATACTAAATCCATGCTTAGTTTGTGTTTGGCCATGCAAGAGTTAATAAATTTTCACTAAGTACTTGAATCATGAAGCATCAGTAATTGATGAAAAAAACAATCTAATATATCATTTCTTTTTATAAAATTGTATATCACCCAGCAAAAAATGCAAAATTTATATACCAAAAATTGCTTAAGTTCGTTCACTAAAGCTTTGAACATTCATATCTCAGAATTAAATAAACTTTTTAAAATTTTTTTTCCTGAACTATACAGACAATTATATCTCGTTAATTTACATTGTAAATACCACACTATTTCATTAATTTTCACGCTAAGACAATTTTATTTTTAGAAAATTTAATTTTTGAAAACAGTGATGTTTTTGACTTTATGTAATTCAAAAAATTAATTATTGCATACAGAAACTTTAACTTAAGTTTTTATTGTAAAAATAACCAAACTTTCATTCCAATCAACGCATTGCAAATTTAACATCGTAATAACATATCATACTTTCTCAAATTTAACATTCAAATAACACATCGTAATAAAATATTTCAATATCACAAACTTAACATCAAAAAATTGTTGAAACAAGATATTGTTATTTTATAATAAAATCATGAAACAAAATTGTTTAATTAAATTTTTAAAAAAGTTTTTTTTTTTAATTAACAACTTAGATAAAAAAAAATTAATCATAAAGCAAAAATCAAAAATTATTTTTAGCAAACAAACTTTTTGAGATGACTCCTATTAAATTTTATCATTATTTTCAAAGTTTGCTTTGAAATTTGAATAACATGGAAGGTTTTGAAATTTTTATTTGCAAACGAATTATTTCAGCATCGTGCGGTTAACTTTTTTTTTGTTTGTAATTAGTTCACATACATATTTCACAATCAATATTTTGCAACATTCCTGATAATTTTTGTTTTTTATCATTTATAATTTTGAAGAAAAACAGTACTTAATATTTGAAAATCAAAACAAAGTTTTTCAAATTTAGTGGAAAATGTGCTTAGTAGCTTGAAAAACTTAGTGACTCTTTATAATACTAATGTTAAATGTGATCATTTTATTCAATACTTTCTTTCTTTTAGATTTAAATAGTATGCATAATTTCAAAACTTTTGTTTTGCAAATGATTCCAATAATTGATTTTTAAAAATGATTCTTATGTACAGTATCAACAAATATTATTGGAGAAATAAAAGTTTGAAAAAATTGAACTTTTTGACTCTTAAATTGTCTAAAGTTACATGGCGATTGAATTGAGATGATTTTACGGTAAGTAGAAAGTGAAAAGCAGAATATAAATCCAAAAATAAATTATAATATGAACTTAGCATGACTGATTGAAAAAAAATATCAATAATAATATTAATAAATACAAATAAATAGTTAATAAAATAATACATTATATTATAGACAAAATATAATTTATAATTAAAAATTAAAAATATTATTTAAAAAATTGAATAAATTATATAGTAAGAAAAAAGAACAAATTGCAATATACAAATAAATAGTTAAAAAAATATTACATTATATTATAGACAAAATTTTATTGTATAATTAAAAATTTGTAAATTAGTAAGCAAAAAGAACAAATTGCTATAAGTGAGAAAATATATCATCTACCCATTTAAATTAAACATTTGATTTTTACAACTTGATTATTGATTTTTACAACTGAAGTATTTACAATTAGAACTAGTGGTGTAATTGATATCACAAGATAAGGCTTTTGACGTTGGTTAACGCACTGGTTATATTATTAAATGACGGGTAACTGTTGCTTTATATGTTTAAAATTGATTTCATTCATTTTTATACTTTAAAACCATTAATCATAATATAACAGTTAAACAATATTATTATGATATATGAAAGAAGACCTTAAAGATTTTGTTTTAATAAAAAATTTAAATAGTTACGATTTCTTTTTCACCAAAAGAGTTTCTAAAAACATTCAAACCATTGGAAAGTTATTTGAGTTTTAGATTTTAAATTTATATTTGAGTTTTAGATGCCTACTTATTATTCCTCAATGAATACTATTATTATTCCTGTGTACAATGTTTTTTATTTACGAAAAACAGAACTTATCCAACTTGTTTAATAATTTGTTTCAGACATATATCTTTTAAAACCTGGAAAATCAAAGATATATTTATGCTATTTTAGAGTTCTCATGCAAAAACATGTGATCACCTACAACTTTAATGTCATAAGAGTACACTTTATCGACTGCTAAGCATGTGGTCAATCATTGAAGTGCATCTTTGGCACCCAGAACAGTGGATTATTTACATAGTCTAGTCTAGCTACATGCTAATATTTCTAAACCATAACTGGGACTTGTTTAACTTAGACACTTGAAGTAAAACAAAATTTAGAAATAAGTAAAAAAAAAACATTTTTAAATTGATGACATCGTTAAATTAAAGGTTTTTTTTATTGTTTATAAAAACAACTTTAGTAAATAATATTGTTTTTTTAACACATAACATGTTTTTTAACAAGATCACCACAACTGTTTCAGGCAATGCAAATGTGATGTTGTGACTGATATCACAAGGCCACCACAATTGTTTCACACAATATAAAATTGAGTGTGACATCACTAGTTTATCAAAAATTAAAAAATTTAGTGATTTTGAAATAGTTGTAAATATTTTCTAGAAATGTTTTTACTTTCAAACAAAAAGAATTACAAGTTTTGGTTGTTAAAATAATAAAAGTATTGTCAAAACATCGCTACTGAATAGAAAATTTTTTATTTGTTGCAATTTTTTACAGAAAACCAGTCATAGGCCAACTAAGATTTGATAACTTATTTTCATGTTTGATGGTAGAACTTTGGAGCTCTTATCGATGAGTGTGTTATAATTTTAGATCATTGATGATTTCTTTGACATTTGGTAATCATTTTTAATTTTTTATTAAAAGTGAGTTTTTTATGCATTTATAAATAAATCAATTAAATGCATGTAAAATTTTTGTAATGCTCATCTAATTATTTAAATTTTATTTTGAATACAACATGACTAACTAACTAGAGATATAAAATAAATTTTATATCTCTAGTCATGTTACCGAATGTCTTCAAACTTCAAAGCAGCAGGTTTTATAAGGTACTTACAATGAGAGCTTGTGTGGAAAGTTTCATCATTGAATCATTGCGTGTGATTTTTCTGATAATAAATTTAGATATTTTAATGTGTTCTGTTTGACACGTTATGTTAAAAATAGTGTTAAAACTATACAAATTATTGTTAAAGGAATGTAAGGCTTTAAATAGTCAAGCTTTTCTTTATTTCTATCTAATGGTGAAGAATTAGAAAAATGTGGGCTGCTAAAAGCATTGAATATTCTAATAAAGCAAATTTTTTGTATTTACTAGGTAAGCAATTTATATGAATAGCTAGTGATAAAAATAACTTATTATAAGATAAAACAAGCTTATCTTGTTTGTGTTCATCAGATTTAATTAAAATATACAAAAATTAATGAAATTGAAAAAATAGAAATTTCAAATCAACAAATAAAATAAAAGATTTATAAATAAAATTTCATGCTTTTTTTGTATGTTTGTGTAAAATTGTTTTTGGTCTTAATTTTTTTTAATTATATTTTTCTTTACTAAATATGATCTTTTTTTTCCATTTTAAATATCTGTTTGATTATTAAAATTAGACGTTGATTCCTCAATAACCACTAGAGTGACATGAGTATTAGGATTGGTTTTTGAAATGAAATATAAAGGCTGAAATAAATATAAAGGCTGCAGTTTGTTTCTGTTCATAAAATTGGTGAAGGAATGTAATAAATAAATCATCTAATGCAATCATCAAAAAACAATTAGACATAATATAGACAAAAAAATAAAACATTTTGGTGCTATTTTACTTAAGGCCATACATATTTATATAAATATTAGAAATGGTGCGCATGATAATTTAATTATGTCATAGGATATTGGAAGAAACGTGAATATTTTTTCTCTCTTAAAAAGTTTGTCTTGTATGGGCGCAGCGCATTTAAAAAATGTCAACTAAATGTTTTACTAAAAACTCTAGAAAAATTAGTATAACAAACTTATTGTTATTTTCAATGTATATAAAGCAACTACTATAAGGTGAATCATAAAACATGGTCATCAAAATTTGTGGGCTTGGGGCTTATACCCCCCATTCCATTATTATTAAAAAACCATAAAAATATCAATTTTATTGCATGAAAGTTCAATTACACATTTGAGTACAAGATGTATGGGTATACAAAATTTATTCAAATAAAAAATACTTGATGTCAGTAATTTCTACAATACTGTTGGCCTCAAAAAAATATGCAACTGATAAACTTGTTATTAAATGGAACATTGCAAAAGACATTAAAAAATTGAGAACTAAGAAACAAAGAAATATGTATACAAACAGACTTGATAAGTTGACAAATTATAAGTTAAGTAATAAGTTTAAAATCTTATGCTGTTGTGAAAATGGATGCAATGGTTCTTTTTTTAAAGCCCATGTGACTTGTATATGACCAAAAGTAGCAAAGATACCTTTGCAAGAACTATTTTCCTTATAAGCTCAAAGAAAAAAAATTGGTAACAAAAGTACATTAAAATAGGATTAGTTGATGTACAGAGACATATCGGTTGACAAGATATTTGGATAGAAAAGAAAGAGTAGAAACTGCAGCTGAGCAAATAACTGATAATTTTTACATATGGATTGTGGATCATGATGTTGGAGACTCTTTAGTAGCCATTAGTGCAGATTCAACAAACTTAAACACTGGTTGGAAAAGAGGTGTTATCCACTACCTTGAACATAAATTTGACAAAAAAACTAATATGGATAATTTGTGCTCTTCATGCAAATGAACTTGTAAAAATGTAAAATCTTATGATTCGGCTTGACTGAAAAACTACATTGAAAAATAAATTTTCTAATTCTATTGGAAAACTTATAGGTAAGGTTACTAACTTTAAAGTGAAAAATAGCATAATAAAAATTAAATTTCCTAATGCAATGATAGAAATTGATTTTAAAGTTGTAAAATCGCTTCAGATGATCAAAAGTATCTTTATGAAATTATTCATGCAATTACCACTGAAGTTTTTTCGGACAACCTTAAAGGAAAAGGAATATGGCCACATTTGCATGCAAGATGGTTGAATTTTGCAAATGAAATATTTTACTTTGGTGTTCAGATATCTTACCTTTAGGTGAATAACCTTCAACTTCTGGTGAAGTTGATTGTTGGAGATGTGCCACATTGGTTTGAAATCAAAGTAAGGTGGAAGTGGACTGAAGGGCCTAACCATATACTCAAGCAATCAAAACTTCTTTGTCATCAAAGACTTAGAGTTAAAGACATTGTAATGCCCTATGTACTATTATTACTAATATTATGATTGAATGCTCATACAGTGCTGGCAATAATGATAGCCCACCTTACAAAGTTTTAATTTTAGCAGCCAATAAGCAATCTCAGACAATTAAAATTTTATCCAATTATCTTCTTTGTATATTTGATTGGCTGTAAAAAGCCAAGTTTCTGAAAGATTTTTGTTTTTTGTTTATTTCAAAAATCTGATTCTGACGCCAGAAATAAAAATAGCCCACATACTTAAATAGGTAGGAATGGTAATAAAATCAAGATTATATATTTATAATTTACAAATTAAACAATAATTATAAATATCCGAAGGCAAGTTTTCAATTGAAATTACAATGGGAAAAGTTAACAGTGTGACCGAAATTGAGAAAGCTTAAATCATTTCGTTCAACAAGGCATCATGGAGCATGTTAAAGATTTCCAAAGAAATAAAGAGATCAAAAAAGGTTATTTTCAATTTTTTAAAGGACGGTTATGGATTAAAGAAGTCAACAGGAAGTTCATTGATTTTGACTCATAACACAAAACGATTGCTTATTTGACAAGCTCAAGTTCCAGGTCAGCTTCAACATGACCTAAATCTTGAAGCTGGACCCTGACATATCCATCAAATCCTTCAGAATTGTGAAGACATGAAGTACTGCAAGCGTATGGCCTCAGCAATGCTTACTCAGATCCATAAGCAGAACTGTCTTGAGTGGGCAAAAAACAGCATGAAACCTGGCACTATTCCAAGTAGGGCAAAGTCATCTTTTTGAATGAAAAAAAAATTATTTTTTTTTGACAGCCCAGATGGACTGCAATACTATTGGCAAATTTTAAGGCAAGTAAAGCAGTTTTTTTCCACGTGTTAATCTGGCAGTGAATCCATCATGGTTTGGGATGGTTTTAGCCCAGAAGGAAAATCGGAATTAGCCATATTGGAGAGAAATCAAGATTCAAAAAAGTACATTGATACTCGATCTGAGTATTTGCTACCCTTCACACATTCGAAGTACAATAATGCCTTTTTTTTCCAACAGGATAAATCAAGCATTCATTCCTCATTAATGAAAAAAGAGTGGCTTGAAGAAATGAATATTTAAGTAATCAACTGGCTATCCATATTCCCTGACTTGAATCCCATCGAAAACTTGTGGGAGATGATTGTTTGCAGGGTTGTGGAGTCGGAGTCGAAGTTGCAACATTTTCAGCGGAGCTGAAAATGTCGCAACTCCAAAATAATTTCAGCTAAACAAAATCGCGACTCCAACTCCAATAGTAAAACTTCTCGGTATTGCACGTGCATGTACAAAACACTCAATTAACCTTATGTTCATAATAAACCTCAAAGAACGTTTCATAAATTTGTCAAAAAAGAATTTTTTAACTTAATTTTTTTTAAAGAATTCAAAGAAAAAAAATTTTGCTATGGAGTTGGAGTCGAAGTTGTACTCAAAAAATTTCAACAACTGGAGTCGGAGTCGTTACTTTTTTTTTTACGACTCCACACCCCTGATTGTTTGAAAGACTTACGTCTATAAGAAGCAATTTGGATTGAAAAACGAACTGACTGTTGCAGTTATAAAGGCTTGGAGCAATATTTATAACAACCCACTTGAATCCACTTGGTTTCTTCAATGCAAAGTTAACAATTGAAAGGTGCTAAGATTAAATATTAGAAAATAAACATAACTCGTTTTCAGAAATATAAGTCAATCTTTTAGCCTTATTGAAGTTCAATTTGAAAGTATGCTAACTTTATTTCTACCCTAAAGAGCCTTTTCACATGGAATATTTTCAAAACTATATACCAAAAAACAACTGAAATTTTATATACTTTCCTAAATATAGCCCATTATTATTGTATAAAATTTTAAACGTCTGAGATTGCCTATTGGCTTCTAAAATCAAAATATGTAGGGTGGACTTCATTATTGCCAGCACTGTAGTGAAAATGTTATTCTTTCATTGTTATGCAGTTAAAACAATTAAAATTAAAAGGAGGTTCAGAATACCAAAATGCTAATGTAAAAAATAGAAAACATTTACATAATGAAAATGTTAATTCACTTTTTCAGCGCTTGAAATAATTATTTGAAGGTTGCCAATCAACATTGATTATCAGAATTGATAAAAATTGAAAAAATGACAATCAAATAATTTTCCAGACAATAAAAATTTTGCAATTTTTTTTAATACCTTTTTATTGTGAATTAAAGATTGTTATGGTCTTAAAACTGTTTAATTTTGCAATCATAAACATTTCTAAATTTTAATGCTAATTTAACTTTAAGATTCTTTTTTAAATAATAAAATTCTTTTTATTATAAAATTTGATTTACAAAAGAGGGCATTGAATTTGATCGGTCATATTTAATTTTGGGAATTAAAAATATCAATTTTTCCAAAAAACGACAATCATTAATCATTGATCAGCCATTATTTTAAGTGCTGCTTTTTGATCTAATTATTCGCATTTTAGATGTACACAAGCCTTTACTTATCTTAATTTTTATAAGATGAACTTTTAAAATACAATGATTCTCTGATGAATGTACCTTGTTTTCCTATTCATGGGCAAGACATTTACAACTTGTATTTATAAACATATTTATTGTGTTAAATAATATCATTATATTTTGCTTTTTGTTTTGTATGAGAGTTAAATTTTCAGTATCTACTATTGTATTTGTTGTAAAAAAAAAGGATTGCAAATTTAATAAATTTTTTATGTATTTAAAATGTGATGACTTTGTTTGAAAAACAAAGTAATATGTCAAATAATAATAGCTAAAACATTTATTTAGATTTGATTTAACTTATCATATCTAACTTAACTCTCAAACCCAACTTTTAAACCCAACTCCCCCAGCATAACAAAACTTTAACTTACTTGAGAACTATCATCTGTACTCTGGAAAATAACTATAAAGAATATAGACATATGAAAAACAGCATATATATATATATAGCATAATTTTATCATATTAAAATTTAATGCACTGATGTCACTGCAACAATGCTTTCATATAAATTGATCAAGGTATGTTACCATCATGTTGAGACATATCAGCAAACTAAATGTTTGTTTGAAATGAATCTTGCATCTACCACAATGTAACCTAAACAAATAAAACGACAAATAGCTGATTATTAATATAGGTTTTTAAAGAATGATAGTATTTAAGTTATATTGTAGTTAAAGAATGAAGTATAGAGATTATCAGAGATAAGAAGGTGATTTAAATTATTTTATTGTTCCAAATATTATAGAGATAAGTTTAAATGTATATATTTTAAACATTTTTTAGAAATTAGTTTTTTAAGACAAGATTTTTTTTACTTTAAAAACTTTCTTCAATAAATGACAACATAACAAGAAGCTAACTTTAAGAATTGTCAACAACTTAGATCTTAACAAAACAGGCAATTACCAGATGTACCAGGTTTAATTAATAATCATGGATGTATTGAAGAAAAATGGAACAATTTTAGTTTATAATGTTTAGTTTAACTAGTCATGCATGTGACATGAATGAGTAGTTTATTAAAAAGCAAATATAATAATGAAAGATCTCTGAAAATGAATCAACTTAATAGTATTGCCAGAAACCAGATTTAAAGCCTTCAGCATACTTTATCTCTTAAGTCAAAATATTGCTATAATAATGAAAAAAACATTTTGACAAATTAAATTAACAACAACAACAACAATAAAAAAAAAAAAAAAAAATTATAATTATTTACATAAATAAAAATAATTTACATATATTTACAGTAATATTATTAAATAACAAAAAAGTAAAAAAATTAATAATTATATAATAATGACTATAATAGTTATATTTATAAAAATATTTATATTATTTTTAATTTTAAATAAATATCTTAGCTTTTTTTTTGTTTGTTATTCACATCCCTAAAGCCAAGAGGTTAACTACATTTGAGGAGGCTACTTTATTTTGCTTAAAACCCTCTCTTAACTCTATAACTCTTAAACACAAACAAGGTTGCTGAGCAGAGAAACAAGCGATAAAAATAGTAATGATAATAATAATAATAATATAAACTGTAGTATTAACAAAAAAAGAGAATAAGAGAATATTTTAATAATAAGAGATATTATTGTCAAGAAGTTAGCATAAATTTTTTGAAATTTGATTTTGTTCAAGATGAAGAATAAAAGAAGATAAAAGTGCCTGAAGTTCTAGCTCTTTATTTATAGAGTTTTGAACAAAAAAAAAAAAAAAAAAATAGCACATTTAACTAGTGCCAGAAAGGTTGGAATATTAGGTTTTTTTAAAGACTAATGTGTCTGAATTAGGAAGCTGAAAGTTTATTATTCTAATAGATAAACAACAAAATTTAGTATATGTTGTAGTTACTAGGGCTTTGGTCGGTTGGGCATCAAAAGACCTGGATCCAAATTTGATTGGTATATATGGGTCTGGGATTGAGTCAGAGCAATTGACCCTAATTCATCCTAAAAAGACCCATACCTAACTTACTTTACAGGTCTCGTCATGATAAAACAAGAGCAAAAACAGTGTGACTCTTTACTTGGAGTGGACTATTGACTGCATGAGTTAAAATGGCCGTAAACAGTGTAGGTGTAGTTAAAGTAATTTTTCTCTTATAAACTAAAGCAGTTAGTCATAAAAAATACAATAATGAGTGAGTATCTAAATGAAAATCAGGTCTGCGTATAACAGGTCTGGATATTATAAAAATTATACCCAACCGACCAAGTCTAACAAGTCTAGCAGGTTTTGTATACATACTAACAAAACCCAGACCAAAGACCAGTTTAAACAGGTTGGGTCAGATTTTGGTTGAGACTTGACCTGTTAACAGGCCTAGTAGTAGTAGTAGTAGTATTAGTATTAGTAGTAGTAGTAGTAGTAGTAGTAGTAGTAGTAGTAGTAGTAGTAGTAGTAGTAGTAGTAGTAGCAGTAGTAGTAGTAGTAGTAGCTATTTGATTTAAAATGTGACAATTTATGCAATAGTAGATTAATGATAGAAATAACTTTATTTAAAAATCTGCATTGGGGCTTTTGGTAATAAAAATACACATTTTGGGCAGATGTTAACTGCATCAAGCAGTCAAGTACTGTCTTGTATAAGATCTCCTAGCAAAACACCTAAGAGTAAGCAAAAAAATTCTATTGACCAGCCCTTCTTCATTTATTAGGTTGGCATAGATATAAACTTGTGTTATATCGTTTCCTGCCTAGATGAATGCCACATATTCTTAACCCAACTCATCTTTTAATGAGGGTATAGCTCTAAAACTTAGCTTAATGGTTCTGAGGCCGGCTGGTAGTAAGGTTTCCCAAACTTTGGTAGCTCTCAGAGAGACTTATTCTACCAACAGCTATAAAATATCAAAGTATTAACAATGCTATGTTTCATACAGATGGTGTCTCTGTTAGTGCTTTTGGTGTGCATTGCCAAGGCCACACAAGTTACTATTTGGGTTAAATAAAAGGACTGAGACAACTGCATAGCTCATTGCTTGGGATGCTGTGCTCTATCTATAAATGAGCCAAGTTCTCTTTAAATTTAAATCACGTCAAAAGTTATCCAAACTATTAAACATAAAAAACCACCCCCACCACCTAACTGTTTCAATATACCTTTCACAAATATTCGTGATCTTTGAAGTAACCTTCCATCAGTTGAATCTTACCTCTTGCAAAATTCACAAGACTTGCTTGCTTTTTGTGAGACTAATTCGAAATCGGCTGTAAAATCTCAATATTGATGGGTATTATACATCGATTCACAAAGACTCTAATAGTCACATGCTTGGCTTGGCACATTTATACATCAACTTACCTATTTGATGAGAAATCAGAATTGAATTCATTGACTATTCTTTTATGTGTTTCCGCTTAGCACCTCTTCACTCTATCACCTTTCTCTTTGCTTTTATCATTCTCCATCTCAGGACTGTACTCTTTTAGATATAATTTCTGATCAACTTGACTATCCCCTTTCTCTTTACACCTCTGCCAATATTATTGTTATTGGTGATTATTGCTCATCACAATCATGGCTATGCTCTAACACCATTGACCCTGCTGGCAATAAAGCCTATAACTGCATTTCTCCATCACTTACTTAGATAGTTAACTTTATGACTTGTTTTCCAGACACCCTAATCACTTAACTTCACTCCTTGATTTGTGTCTTGTCTCTGACCTAAGCTCTGACCTAAGTGTTCAGTTTCTTCTTGTTCTCCTTTAGGAAGTTCTAAGCATGCAATGATCTCTATAAATCTTTTATCTTGTACTTCTTTCTTTAGACTGAACTAATCATCACACTACATACTACTAACCTAAAGTAGATTGGGATTCTTTTCATGATTTTCTTTGTGATTATCTTATTTTCTTTCCTGCTCGAAAATGACATTTGTGATTTTAATTTTTTAAAACTCTGGAGACCATTGACTTCTCCAACTAGGTCTTTGAGTCTTTGATCAACAAATTTCTAACATCTCATTTCGAGTCAAATAACCAAATGTCAGACAATTAATACAGTATTTAATCTTGTTGCTCTGCCAAGCAGCGAGGTTTGCGCTTAAAAATCCAATACTCTTCTTTATTTCCAGTATACAGTATATCCAGTACAGGGTTCTGGGGTACCTCAAGGTTGTATCCTTGGTCCTGTTTTGTTTCTTATCTACATTAATGATCTTCCCAACAACCTTACATCTAAAATAGTTTTTTTTAAAAAACTTACTTTTGGTGACTCAACTTAATACTCCTTCCTTGACTAAATGTCTTCTATTTTTTATCACTTAGAACAGGCAGCTGATCTTGAATCTGATCTCACTTTTGTAACTAATTGGGACTCGCAGAGGCTTGTAAATTTTAACTTTAACTAAACTCAGTTATTTACTGCAAACAACAATCGCAATATTATTGACATTCATTTATTAATGAACAGCAACCTTCTTTATGTCTTCTTAGATTATTGTTCACAACTGATCTTTCATGGAAACCATATATACATTGCCACTTTCATGGAAACCATACATACATTGCTAAATTAGCATATGTTAAACTTGCTTCTCTTTATTGTGCTCAACATTAACTTACTTCTGATTCCATTTTCTAACTCTTCTGATTTCTTATTCACCTCTGTATAAAATACTGTTATCATATTTGGGCTGGTTCTTCTAATGATTCTTCTAATGATGCTTTTTCACCTCTAGACAAGATTTAAAAATCCATTGCAAATGCAGTTGGACCTGTACTTTCACACATGCTTTGCTTAGACTTAACTGCAGCTTTTTAGATGTTTTGAGAAAAATTCAAAATGTGCTAAAAAAACTAAACTATATAATCAAGAAAAAGGAAATTAAAAAAATTTAATAAAATTAAACTTAAAAAAAAAACTCAACAAATAAAAAACTAAAACTCTAAAAAAAATTATTTCTAATTACATTTGGAGAAATAACTTCAAATTATTTTTAACATTGTAATATAAAGCTTTTTTTGCCAACTCAAATGCATACAGTTTTTTTGTATAGGTAGAAAAAAAACCCGAAAAATAATAAAAAAAAAACTTATGCTGCCCCAACCCTAACCCTCAGTTGATGTAGCAGCAACTTTCTACGATGTTCTCTCTATATCAGGCAAGGAATGTACTGAGGCCCTCACAACTCATTAAATCAGTATGACACTAAATTGCTGATTCAAATGTACTTTTATATTTGTATGTTTATGTATAACAAAGATAAAAACTAATTCAGTCAAATATGCTTCTTTAATATGTAAGCAAGCGGTTTATATAAGTTTTTTAAATTAATTAGTTTATTAATGCTTTTCCGAAAATCGCAATAATTTATTCGTTTTCTCAGGAAGAATTAATCATTTTTTAAGTAACTTACTGCCTAAGTTAATTATCATAACTAACATTATAAGACCTATTGATTGATTGATGACATAAAAAGATCTTAGCAATTTTCTTTGGAAAATTTGAAAGATTTAATAATTCCTTTTGTAAATTGTGGTTTAAATCTTTGTTTGAAGTTCCTAATACTAGTCTTCATGGGGTTTAGCATGAAGCATAACAATCAAAAATGTTGTTTTAGTAAAATAAGTTGTTGATTTAGTAAAATATTGATTTGTATGTTGATTTAGTAAAATAAGTTCGGAAAAAATTAACATCACATCATCATAGTCCATTTTAAAGTAAGATTTAAAGTTTTCTTTATTAATCTCTTAGTAATAATAAATATTTCAGTATATTTTAATAAAAAATATATTATTATATTTAAAAGTTTCGATTACCTTCCTCATGCAATGCGACACGGTGAATAATCATCCAGTTTTTGTCCAAAATATCAAATCCAAATATTAGGATATTTTAAAATGACTAATGAAAAAGTCTAATGCAAAGCCTAAAAAAAGGTATATATTTTTTAAAACTATATTTACATATATATATACATATATATATATATATATATATATATATATATATATATATATATATATATATATATATATATATATATATATATATATATATATATATATATATATATGTGTGTGTGTTAATTCAGGATGAAAATAAAAAAACAAAAAATGATTAGAAAAATTTTAATAAAATCTTGATAAAAAAAGATAGAAATCTAGATTGCACCTGCCCAACTCTAAACCCCTCAATATATATACCAAACCCCTAAAGATTGCTATTTCATAGTATTTTGTACATTTCATGAATATATATATATTTTTTTAGAGCACAGATTACCATCTTTTAACACAATTGTCTTGAACTGCAGACATGCTTTTCGTAACCAGTTGATGGTTAGTGAATAATTCTGTTCATTCACTTAATCAAATTTTAAAATAATATTATTCTTTTAAAAACTTTGGACCTGGCACTTAAATTGTATATGCCTGTTGTCTGAAATATATTTATAAAAATAATAATAAATTAATATATATATATATATATATATATATATATATATATATATATATATATATATATATATATATATATATATATATATATATATATATATATATACATATATATATACATATATATATATATATATATATATATATATATATATATATATATACATATATATATATATATATTATATATATATATATATATATATATATATATATATATATATATATGTATATATATATATATATATATATATATATATATATATATATATATATATATATATATATATATATATATATATATATATGTATATATATATATGTATATGCAGATGGATATTGGAAAAAAAACCAAGATATATAGTTACTATAGAATTTGCATGAAAAGTCTTAATGTTAAAGCAAACATTTTGCCCTCATAAACATTGTTTTCTCTTAAGTATCTTTTATATAAACAAAAGGTAAATGAAAAAAATGATAACAGATAGAATTACAACAAAATGCATCTACATTGAATTTAAGATTTAGGCAGGATAAAGATCAGTTTTTTTTTTTTTTTAAATATAAAATATTTCTTTGAATATATATTTTTTTATTTGTAATTAGGTAAAGAAATATATATGATATTATAAGCAAATATAATAAAGATAAGTAAAATAAATTTCAAAACATATCTTTACTAAACCATTTCATTTATATAATAAATAAACTAAAAAAAAAAAAAAAAAGAGAAAAAATAATTTCTAAAAATGTTTTTATATCCTTTTATGTACAATGTGTCTATCTTTGTCATGAAGTAAAAAATTAATAAGTTCTTAGTTGTAAACTGTTTTGCCTTTATAAGCTTTATTTATTTATTTATTTTTTTTTGTCATCATTACAAAACAGCTCAATACTAATAGTTAAATTTTCTATAATATTTTAAACTAACTAACAGAGATAGAAAAAAGTATATGAATCAACTTTAAAAACTGATAAATGGATGTTGTTTCTATTAAAATAGGCCACTATGATTACTTTTTGTAAAAATTGACTGGTATGTTCACATATATTTCATATTTATTTTTTTCTGTGCAGAGATCTAAGGTATTTGAAAAAAACGAACAACAGATTAAACTAAAAGAAAAATGTACTTAAATGTACTTAAATCATTTGCTGAAAGAGTAAAAACATGAAGTTATTTAATTACAAAATCCAGTAACTTTCAAATAATGTTGTCTCTGAATACAAACTAGACATGAAAGTATACAAATGCTACTAAATACTTTGGCATTGATTAACGTTGATTGATAATGCACTGATTAATGTTGATTGATTTTACACAAGGCTCTCTTGATCTATATTATGACATAATATAGGTCAGTTCATAATTTATGTACATCAGAGCCAAGTAAACACAGATAAAAGCTTTAAACAACAACAAAAATATATTTACCAGTAAATATCATACATAGGTTCATTAAATAACATAATATGGAAGGTTCACTCTCTGATAGCCTGGCTAAAACGAGAGAGCGACCAGAGAGAGTACGAAAAAGTTAAATACCAGGGTAGTGAAAAGTTAAGCTAAAAACCTCAGTGTTATTTGATTTTCGTTATAAATTAGGGTATGTATATATTTCAGTATCATTCAGAACATATTTTTATTAACAAACTATTTTAGAACGTTAAATACGCTTGGTTAATATTGTGTAAAAGTGGCGGTAAGTGTAAAATTTACACAATTTGCCTTTCGTTTGCTCTCATAAGTTGTGGTCCTAGCCCTCACGGACTGCGTGGGAGTCACTCGGAATCGGGCCAAACCTTTTACTTACTGTTTTTCGGATTATCTATTTATGCAAATTAATTATCCATTTTAGAGAAATCGGTTATTTTTGTGATTTTTGTAAGTGTCGCGGGGGCTGATCGCTCTTGTACGCATGTAACTAAAATTTCAAGGTAAAAAAGATTTTGATTGCTCTTCAATTTTTAACACTTGGATAACAATTCCATGCAATCGAAAAAAACTGCTAAGTTTTAACACTTTATGTTAAGTATTATTAAATTTTCTTTCTGAAATAAGGTTCTAGAGGCTTTCAATCTTTAACAGTAAATGATTAATTAAGGCAATTCAAGCGTTATAAGCTCTGGAGAAAACTCTGACCCCTCTAACAATCTAATCAGTCTTTGGTCTATTATTAGCTAGGTCTTTAAGTCTTTAATTTAAAAACTTCTATATTTCATCTTGAGTCTGACATCTTTTTTTCTGATAATCAATACAAATTCTTTTGTTCTACAGCAAAAAAAACAAAAAACAATACAGTAGAATCCTGTTAACTCGAGCTCCGAAGGGGTATGTATTTATTGTCCGACTTAGTGAATGTCCAAATTAAGCAAAGCTCTCGTTAAGTCGGACTTTTTGAAAATGTCCGACTTTTTTGAGATTTCGAGACTTAAATATATAATACTATGAGATAAAAAAATTATGTACATATATATATAATAATATAATCTTATGTAAAATATATATATTTGTATATATAATATATACTATAAACAAAAAAAGTCCAAAATTGATGTTTGTTTCAGTGACTCGCACCATTCTTTTTGAAACAGCTTTGAAGCATTCAAACCTAGCTTTCCAATTTCACCACTATCAATTGCTTTACAAACTTCTTCAGTCGTTGTCTTTGTCACCGTTTCATCCGACGTTTCATGCTTTATCTAAATTTATGTTACATACTTTATCCAAATCCTTCTTCAGGGAGACATTCATCGGCACTCTTTTTGCAAAAGTTTTTATATTTTTTTAACTTCTGAATATATAGTGTTTTTTTTTTTTTGACCATCCAGACAATGTTTGCTTTAAAATGCCACATTTCTTTGATACAGTTATAGATAATTCTCCTTTGTCGAGTTCCTTTAGTAGTTTGTATTTTTCTTTTATAGTTCTACTAGATAGCTTAGTTTAAACAACTTTCGTCATTTTTAGTAAATAAAACTTAATCAAAGTTTAACCGAATCAAAGATATTAGTGAAAATGTTTAGCTCGTTAAATTATGTTTGATGCAAAGGTAATTAATTTTCGAACGTTCTGTTCTGAATTTTAATAGATATTTTTGTGTTTTTAATGTAATAGTTACTAACAAATAGAATTTAATTGAAGCTTAACTGAATCAAAAGATCTCCGTGAAAATGTTTAGCTATATTTATTTATATTTGACACAAAAGTATTTTATTTTCGAGCGTTTAAAGTTTGGAATTTTTATTGAAGAGTTGGAAGTTTTGTTATTGCATGTACTTATATGCAATTCAAAATAAAAGTCCTAGTTAATTTTTTTTGCCGAAGGGACCTCAAAAAACAGTACGAGTTAGCAAATGGTCCGACTTAACCAGGTAAGACTTTAGGCAATCGATTTTACAGTAAGTTGATAGAGAATGTTCAAGGGGAATTGAATTTCCGTCCGACTGAGTAAAAGTCCGACTTATCCAGGATCCGAGTTAATGGAATTTAACTGTATTAAAAATGGAAATGAAGCGAAAGAACCAGATGAGTGGCTTTTTCACTTCGTTTCCATTCCCATGCCTAACTATTTTGCGCTTCCATGTTTAAAATTGTTTTGGAAAAGCTAATTCTATCTAAGGTTGGTGAAAATACCCAAGCTTACCCCGCCTTACCTATAAAGAAAAAAAAAGCCTATTTATATTTATTTAAAAAACTATGGGCACAGACATATATTCACAGTAATCAAGTTATTTGATTACTTCAAGCAACCCAACCACCATAAACACTTAAAAAAATGTTTTATCTTAATCTTAACAGTTATCTGCGACAAAACCTTCTCGGTCTTCACAGAGTTTCACGGTTTTCACAGAGTTTCACGGTCTTCACAGAGTTTCACGGTCTTCATAGAGTTTCACGGTCTTCATAGAGTTTCACGGTCTTCATAGAGTTTCACGGTCTTCATAGAGTTTCACGGTCTTCATAGAGTTTCCGTATTTTTTATTAGTATATTCATTTTTATTTTTTCTCTTTTATATATTGTATAAAGATAAATAATAAATGTAAAAAGAACAACAACAAAAAAGTGTCCTGGTCAGTCATACGACATAATCAATAATATGTTTGGAATCTATTCAGTCGCAAAAAACATTAGAGTTGCTCTCGATTTCCTTGACTTTCTTCACAAAATTGATAACTTTTTTTCTACAGCAACTCATCGATGGGAAGTCTTAAAGTCAAATTTCCCAGTTGGAATACATGTTAAAGTTTACAAGAGAGTTTCAAGAGCCTTTGATAGTGCACACTTGTTAATAGCTATTTTTTTTTAAGGCCGCTCTTCTTCTGTTTTTATTTTATTTTTTAGTTTTATTTTTATACAGAATATTGTTCGGAATATTTTGGTAATGTATTTAGAATTGAATATTAGAATATTTTGGCTGGTTTATTTAATGATGCTCTCTTCTAGAAAAAGTTTAAAAACGTATTGCATTCGAGCTTAATTTGCTCAAGCTGCCAAGCTTAAGCCTCTGTCTCATTGTATTAAGATTGCGTATTTTTCTCTTTTCTTTTCTACAAATGCTATCATGATTGCTACTTAAACGAGTTATTGTCTCATTATTATATTGTTCGCCATTTAGCAAAGTTGCAACAATTTACTGTACCCGTTTTTTCATGAAACAAAAAACTTTTATTCATCTGCTTTTTATTCTACTTTTTTCTACTACTTTTTTCTACTTATCTACTTTTTTCGTACATCAACACTTTAGAATTCTCTCCCGTCTTCATATTTTCCCGACTCATAGAGTTTTTAGGTCTTTTGTCAACCTTTAGTCAATTTTTAGCTCTATTGTCAACTTTTTTTCTTGCTCATTAACCATGTTCTTTCTTTTCCAAAAACTCTTAACTTAACTAGTGGTTGCTTGGAAATGATATCTTTTCACGAAGCGGCAACGAAAATACTTTTTTAAGTTTTAATAATATCTTTTAGTATTTCTAAATTAAGTAAAACACTTGTTATAGACCGGCGGCCATAAAATGAAAAACTATAAAGTTAACTTTCGTGGTAAAGTCGTGAGATCTAAAAAATACCAATGTAAATGAGCCTTTTAGGTTGTGAAATTTTAAAATAAAAATTTATCAATTTAAAATCCGGCAGTTCTTGACTTCGAGCTTTGAAAAACCATCAAAACGATCTATTTTTCAATTATTTGTATTTACTATGAAAAAAAATATTTTTTTCCCATAATGTAATTGGATTTTTTATTTCAAATGGTTTGAAGACAAAGAAAAAAAAAATAATAGTAATAAAATTAAACATTAACGAAGGTATCGCATTAACTTGTTGTTATCGTAAAAAAGTATCGACTTTATCGATTTATAATTGATTTATACAGTAAAACAACCTACTGCAATCTGATTCTTTTTTTTAAAAAAAAGAATTTTATCGTTTTTTAAACATTTTTAAATGTTAAATTTTAAAACTATTACTTAAAAGAACTTGATTTATTTTGTTCAAACTTTCTTTTTGCTATAGAAACACAATACGTACATAAAACAAACCTTCTAAAGAAAAAGTGGCTAAGTAACATTTTATGGCTTCTTATAGTATAACTAAAATATTAACCAGCCAACAATGACATAGGTACTGTTTGGGTCGTTAACTGGAACCCATATGAGATAATTAATAGTTTATTTTGCAGAAGATAAACTCTAAAAAAGAATTATAGAATCTAAAAAATTAATTTTATATTTATATAATTAAGTTATATTCTACAAATTACGCAACAATTCACAAAATCAATAATATTTTGGATTATTGATAAACAAAATATCAGTCGAGTGCCACAAACTGTTCTGTATTGTTCATAAAAGTAGAATTTGTGTGTTGAATAAGTTTTCAAAAAAAACTGAAAATTTCTGCTTAAAAAGAACTAAACGCTTTTCTCTTGCGGAGGAATGAACAACTGTAGCGGAGAATTCTCTTAATTTTGTTAGAAAAGATATTTCATTTAAGGATCTTTACGCTACAGCTAAACTTGTACTTCACCAAAACTTAGCACTAGTGTTCAGAGCTACGTTATTGCTTTATGTGTGAGAACACTGCTTCTCCTGACGACGACAATGTTTATGATCTTGGTGTTAATAATTACAATGAATACGAAGAAAAATTATTTGAAGAAGAATATTAAAATACACCGAATTCATTATTTTTAACTAATAATTTTTAATTTTTATATTTACATATAGTTTAAAACACTTTTATTAAAAAGAAGCAGGTTTTAGGATAATGTTTTATTGTTTAAATTGAATATAAATTGATAAAGCCAATTATTTTACACGATAACTGCAATTTAATACAAAATATCTTATCCTTAATACTTAAATAATAGTATTTTCTTTACGTGAAACAATTGCAAATTGATAACTTATTACATATATTAACAACTACACATGGTGGAAAATTTTATTATAAAATAGTAAACACCTAAAAATTCATACATCGTAAGTGATGGATTTTCAAAGCTTGATTGATCATAAACAGCAAGAGGTAAACCATTAAAAAATAAAGCAAAGAAAATTCTAACGTTGATGAAAGTACCTTGAAAAAAAAGACGTTGAGTAACATCAAACTTGCGCAAGAACAGAAACATGTATGCAAAAATAATGATAATGAATAATGATAATGGATGCACAACCAAACAAT